TGCTAAATTATATTGTCAAATATACAGACCATACAAGACCCTCGTGGGTAGTCAAGATCATCAAACATTCACTAGTAGTAGTACAAATGTAGTCCTATAAATAAGGACTTGTTAAATAGATAAATGAAATGTTTTTAAACACTCTAACAACGTTCACCAAAACAGTTTTTCAGACATCATAACATCAACAGGCACAATATGATGAGATATGTTTAAATGGTATACCATCTAAAATGCAGTTATTAACGTTTATTAAAAAATATATGATTTTTCAAAACCGTAGTTCACTTCCACCGCCCGTACTGAATTACTGAAAAACACAAACATATGCTAGAACGAAAGGTCACTGTAAAATGATAAATGGAACATTATTTTGACATTTCCTTCACACGACAGCTACAGTTGAAAACAATTAAACTTTTGCAATAACAAAGCCTGAGAGAAATTTCGCACAAAAGAAACATAATGGTATGACCCTCCCCCCCACTTAAAATAAGTATCGTTATGAACTGAGAACTGTAGGATTTAATCACATCTTTAAACAAAAAACTAATTTGGAGGGAATGTATTTCTTTTTCTTGAATGTTGAAAGTTAGTACAAACAATTAATTCAGAACTATTCTTCAAATTTAGAAAATAAAACATGTGTTAAATGTGTTACGTAGTTTGTAATTTTATGGAGAAAGCTTGACATTTTTAAATAGTATAGATCATTTGGTGGGTTGATTAACAACTGGCCTTAGTGTTATTGTTCCCCTTGATATATTAAATGTTCGAAATTGCCAGCAATTAGAAAGTAAAATATGTTTCGTAAATAAATTTAAAAATATACTGAACATAATCGAGATTTAAAGATTACAATGATTAAATGACAGACTAAGTTTAATAAGCTATTGAATTTCTCTATCTATATTACCACGTTGGATATTTTTCGTATAATGACACAGTGCTTATGTTTAGAACCTTTTAATAAGACTTGAAGAGAGAGCAAACAAAACTGCAGTAAAGATGTGAAACAAAATAGTTCTTACGCGTAAACAATATCACTATATAAAAGTTTTTGGCTTTGAGACATCGCTTTATGATACAGATACGTACAAAGAATTGCTTCATTTTCTTTTATTGTAACAAAATATTGAACGTCAGCACATAATTGCTGACTACTAGGTTGTTAATACACTTAAGACGAAATATCCAACAATAGTGACATTGACACAGAGGTTGAAACACTTCAAATAGGTACAATGATTTTAAACACGAACATCCGACGTATGTTTCGTCTGCGGTAAAATAATCAATGGCACATGATTTAAAGCAGGAGGCTTAACTTTGCACATGAGAAAAATAATGGTCTTAATGAAAATAAATACAAAATACATAAAAAAGCCAGCATATTTTTAAATTTAGGGATCAATAAAAATAAAACTTCTCTGTACACGACACACATAATTCGATGGGCATTCATTTTCTGGAATATTGACATTTCAAAATATTTTCGATAACTAAAATATACTTCATATTTAGAGATAAAATTGAGAATGGAAATGAGGAATGTGTCAAAGAGACAACAACCCGACCATTGAGCAGACAACAGCCGGATTATACAGTATTGAAATTATAAAAATAAACATGATGACTCTTATGAGAAGTCTTTGTAACTAGTTTATATTATGGGTTGATTTAAAAAAAAATATTTACGTGAACATCCCTTGTATCATTGCTATCTTTGATGAAATCAAATTTATGTAATTGCAAATAATAAGAAAGGGTTTTCTTTTTCGTTATAGTAGTTTTGAAATATACTGAATATAATTGAAATTCAATGATTACAATAATTAAATGTATTGTTTACATGTAACTATACATCAATTGAATGCTAAATTATATAGTCATATCAAATATACCTACCATGCAAGACCTCCATGGGTAGTGAAGGTCACGAAACACCCACTACTTGTAGGTATATCAATAAGGATTTGTTAAAAAAATAATAATGAGATGTTTTAAACACTCTAACAACGTAATTTTCACCACAAATAGTCAACGAGAGGTCATCATATCAACAGGCACAATGGGGTGAGATATGTTTGAAGTGGGGTACAAACAAGCTTAAGACAACTGAAAAGCAAATATTTATTTCTTTAAACACGGTTTTGTTTTAACTGTAGCTCATTTTGCAACCCATTTCTTTGTACCGTTAGCATTCCTTACCTTAAGATACTATACATTTATTTATTATACACATTGATAATATATTAATTATCGCTTTTTATGGCGATTGACAGAAGGTCACAGTAACACAGCAATAAATTGGACTTAATTTTTGCTCACACTACAGCTTCGGTTGACAAATATTCATCGTAAAACATACTATCTATTACAATAGCACACTGGTAGTGATACACTGGCGTGGAAAGATTAGACAATATTCGCACAAAAGAAACATCGTCTGATAATCAAAGCCCCCGAAAAAAAGTATCGTTATGAACTATAGGGAATATGAAATTTAATCACATCTTTAACCTATTACCTTATTTGGAGGAAATGTCCTTTTTCTTGAATGTTGAGAGTAAACAAAAAAAAAATTCATAACTAATCTTCAAATTAAAAAAAATAAACCATGTGTTCAATTTACGTAGTTGGGCAATTTTATTAAGAAACCTTACCATTCCTAATAAATTCATGTGGTGAATTGATTATCAATCGGATACTGGTATAAACGAACTAGTCTTGATGTCATTATTACCCTTTGTATAATCAAATATACGAAATTAAAGAATTTTCTATTTCGTAATAACATTTCTAAATAAACTGAACATTATTTAAAATTTACAATGATTAAATGACAGATTTATGCGGTATGGGTTATGTTAAACAAAATAGTTCCTGCGCATAAGCAATACTACTATATAAAATTCTGTAGCTGAGACATCAATTTATGATACATATAAGTTAAATGCCTCATTTTCTTTTATTGTAACAAATTATTAAACATCAACACAGAATTGCTGACTTTTGGGTTATTGAAATTGTGACTACTGGGCTGGTGATATTCTTTCGACGTAATAACCATCAGTATTGGCACCGACCCAGCGGTTATAAAAAACCCTCAAGGATACCAGGCTGATTTGGTGTGGCAGACTTTCGTTTCGACTTCATCCGAATCATATGTGGCTCTGTACTGAAAACAGTCAGAGGACTCAATGAAAAAGTCAGTTGAAAAGCATTGAAATGCATTGAAAACCAGAACCCCCCCCCCCCCCCCCCCCAAAAAAAAAAATGTGCAAAATACTATTAAGGCTGCAAAAAACTCTGTCTGAGGTTTGAATAATGTAACATTTTATAATCAGGAAATGTACATGAAAGGAAAGTAACAATTATATTTCATGTCAGCCTATAAATGCTGACTACCGGGTTGTTCAAAACATAAGGGTCGAAACTTCCATCAACAGTGACATCAACACTCATCAAAGTTACAAAGCTGATAATTTGGTATACGCCAAGCGCAATATGTCTACGGAAAAGACGTTTTTGGCGCTCGATTTCATACATTTTGAAGCTTAAATCATAAATCAACTCGAAAATCATTGAACTCAACAGTATCGAAAAAAGCCGTCCCAAATAAGACTATAGTTATCATTGTTTAAGTTTAAAAACCTTAGTATTTCGAATATTTATATAATTAATAAACAGTAAATGTACAGAAAATGAAAGTAACAACGATATTAAATGTTAGTGCAAAATGATGATGACTTGTCTGGTCATAGTTCTTTTGATGAAGTTAATCCTTAACGTCTAAGTTTTAGGATTTATTGTTATACCGAGTCACATCATTGCAAAAATTTTACGGGCATTCCAATTTCGAGTTTGGTATCACTTGACACTGAATACTTGAACATTTATAGTTAAAGGACCGTTTTCTGTCAAAATCATGCTCACCGATTTAACTCAATTTTTCATATTTGATTTATAAAATAATAAAATGTATGTCTAATTTATTAAAAGTCTAAAATAAAAAAAATACAATACACCTTATCGCTATTTCCGGTTGACCCGAGATTCTGTCCCGCTTGAACTATTGACGTCATACAACAATCACTTTTCCATTGTGGCGTCAGATATTTTATATTATGACGTCAAAATTTTACGGGAACCTGTGTGATGTCCAGTAATGCAGACAAACAGCGATAAAGTGTATGCACGGGCTTGATAATATGTATCAATATTTCTTGTGTATTAGTCTAGACGCCATCTAGATACACATAAAAATAGGTATAAATATATAGCAAACACGTTTGATTTAATATTATAAGTTAAAAATATATGTTAATCGTCGCTTTACTTGTGTGAGAATGAGTTTTTATGGATCGAATCAGTCAATCAAATTGTTTAATCGTGTTTCACTTTCAATGTTTACATTCTTTTTCGTGTGATAACTGAAAACGCCTTATTCATGCGTAACCAATCTCTACCTAATGGGTTAAACTGAACACATGAATACGGATTCAATGAGATCTAATTATTCACTTGCAAGTGAATACATCATCAGCGATGTTTCTTATCTTATTTAAAAAAAAATGAACCAACTGGCTGATAAAAGCGAAAAATATATTATTTCACTATTTCACTTTCATGACTGATTGAACAAAAATAAAACATATTTTATTGTTTTTTTATATCTCGTAGCTATTGTGTCATTAAGGACCTGCAAACATCTTACAGTGCAAAAATGTAGAAACTAATAACTGTGTTTAGTATTGAAAATGTAAAAATAAAAACCTATTCGAAGTTTCAAATCATAATATGTTTGTGTTCCAAATTCTAAACCAATTTCTTTTTGTGACTTGAAACTCCAATTAAAAATCTTTTGACGTATTGATGAATCAACGACGAACTATTCTATTCATTGACTGAACTGAATAGAGAAAAATAGTGTTGTCCTACATTGATCAAATTTGTAGATTGATTCGTAAGTATATTGTGTAGCTTTATATTTAAATCTCTCATTGAGTACAACAATGTTCAATGGTAGAGATATATAAGGTATGTCTACTTTTTACCATCTAATTCCAATAAAAAAACGAATTATATATAAATTCGAGATATTATTTTTAATTAAGTGAAAACGATGGGTATACATTATTACAATACAACCTTCGACGTATTATAAAACAAATGAACGTTCTACTGTAAAATTTAAATTATCGATAGGATTTTTGTCTTTCATTCCACAATTACAGGAAAGGTTGATCACGTCCAAAACTAGTAAGGTAGATTCAAATCGAGGACACGAAAGGGTTCATTAAAAATAAAGAAATTGAGGAAAAAACGCCAATAAATAATTACGTCATTCTCGAATGTTTAAAAAAATATCGTCATAAACATACAAAGTATTTGCACGAACTTGTCACTTAAAAAAAAGGCTGCATAGTGGAAAATATAGCAGTTAAGGTTGATGCATTATAAAAATGTTCGCAATATCTTCACCCGATTTGGAACGAAACTCTAATCTACTTTGTTCATGTTTGACATTTCGAAGAAAATTTTACATTGTTTAATAACTGTGTTTTTGCTTGTATTTATTTCTCTATCCCATACCATGGTAGATGTGAACGACCCTTTCTTACTGGGTAAATATGTATAGTTCAGGTAAGTTATGATGAATTGGAGGTCTCATCAATCAGAATCTTGTTCATAATAGTGTGTACACTAACAAATGTATTTCAAATTGAGTGTATACAAAGATATGTAAGGTTATCTGAACATTGAAATGTGATATTGTCTGACTCTCATGTTTATTTGTTATTCACCAGTACACATTTATTTGAATGTATAATACTGAGACCAAGAACAAAACATTCACTTATTCTTTTTTCCAGCGGCACAAACCTTGAATACTTTTTTACAGTATACAAAAGGTTTCAAGTGCTGTAATTGAATCACAGTTTGAAAAAAAATAGACGACAGCACTTGTTTGTAAACCGTTATGTAATATCTGTTTCACAGATGACAATGGACATGTTTAGAGTGTCGTAGCCATACTACTGTCCTTTTTCTCGTATATAACATCACCGAATGGTGGCACTTATAAATCAAGATACCCCTCAGAGGCACCATAGACCACCCGTGGTTTTTTTTAGGGGGGTGTGTTGTCTTGTGTTTTTTTATATAATTGTTTGTCCTTTGGTCGTTTTCCGTTTCAAGCCATGGCGTTTTCAGTTTCTTGTCGACTTATGAATTTAAATGTCCATTTATTTTCGCTCAATAGATATATGACTTTTGAACACTGGTACACTACTGTTGCCTTTATATTTTTATGCACATATGCAAATAATATTATACTCATTAGGAAGATAAAATAAATATTAAAATGCAAAAAAGAAAACCAACAACAATTGTTGAAATGGCGAAAGGGATATTATTTTAACGAAAACTAGAATGCAAAAATATTGAAACATATGACTAATCGCTAAATAGACACTAACGGCCTAATTTATAACAAATAGATTTATTAAAAACAAATATGTAAGACATGAACCAACGACACCCACTGATCTTCAGGCTCCACACTTAGGACATGCACATATAGAATATGGCAGCTTTAAACTGTATGAAGGCGCTGACCTCCCCTAACATGGGAAAGTGGTGAAATAGTAAACATACGAACAGAACAATAGTACAACATAAGAACAGAAAAATAGTACAACATAATAACAGAACAATAGTACAACATAAGAACGGAACAATAGTACAACATAAGAACAGAACAATAGTACAACATAAAAACAAAATTTAAAAATCAGTTGAAAAGTGCTGTACCCATTAGATCGATACAAAACGGAAAGAACGATAGCAAAAGATAAGACAGGACATTACAGGGTAGTCAAACGCCAATAACAACTAACCAGTAATATTGAATATGGTTTTAAATTACTGATAACAAAATCAATATTTATACAAATAAAAATAATATCCAACGATCAAGTCCCAATGTTGAATTGACAACCTTCTAGAATAAGAGTTGTTAAATGATTGATGAGTTTATACAAATCGTATCTTAATTTCCTTGGTCGGTAAACAACATTATAGTAAAATCAGGATGTGCTATTCCGTTCAATTTTTTTTTAAACAGTTACATCATAACTTTCAAATCAAATCGTTATATCTATAGGAGGATTTCGAACAGGTTATAATTATAAACAATTGGTGGTAACGAAATCCCATACTTAATACTTTACCAGTAATATATAGATTAGGTTATGGTAAGAAACATTTATTGTTAGAAATATAAATTTTTATGTCTTTAGACCTTAAAAGTTTCTGATTATTAATTTTTTCCTCGCCTTATTTGTACCACATTTGATTGGTTTCGCAAAATGTCGAACAGTAACATATATTGACATGTTTCAGTTTGTAAACCGGAGTTGATTGTCTTAGTCGATTTATGACCTATAGACAGCGGTATAATACTCAGAATTTTCTGGTGTACTTAGTCTAATGCAATCTGGTGACTCTTTTTGAAAGTAATTTCCATTCTGTATTTAACAATAATTTAGAGGTATACACTTTTACTCCTGAACTGTTAGAGATAGAAACCTAGGGTCAATGGTTTTAAGTCCTTGGTCCACTTAAAGGTTACAGGTGAAGATCCTATTATAGTTACGACTTATGCTTATAATACCTGTTCCTAAGGAAATGGTCGGCAACACATTTTTATCCAAATTGGTATTCGTTATATGTTGCGTTATCATATAATTTCGAAACGATAAATTGACATCTTGTAGGAGTTTTCCAGTTCGAAAACTTAATATTATATGTACTGGAATTAGGCATATGTTTGGAGTTTACTATGTTACAAAAAGTTAATGGTCTTGTGTATCTAGAAGTACATGTACATGAATGTTTACTTGTTTCATGGTAAAAGATCTAGAAACCGAGTCCGTTTGAATTGATGTTCGAAGTAAAATTGTGTAAATATAAAGGAGCAAATTGTCCCTATTATGTAAAAAAAACAACAACATTTAAACCATATATTTTATCAAATCAATGTCATATGATCTATTATGTGACAAAAGTAGTGACTTTAAGTAAACGGAATGATTTTAATATATCTCTTATTTCATCAAAAGTAAAACGTTTGTGTACAAGTAGGAATGACATTTCCGTTTCAATACATAAATTTGAGTGCGAAGTCATTCAACTGTAATTCAATATTTGTGTTTTCAATTTTTTTTTTATGTGTGAGCTGTTATTTACTTTAGTTGTTTTGTATGCTATTTTAACTTTCTAATTATAAATAACATTTCAATTATTTTTTTCATACTGCTATATAATTTCATTTCCGTTACAGCAATTAATTTTACCTTCACAAAATCCAATAATCATGACAATATGCAGAAGGATCAATCCACGTTTTTCTATTTTAACAATAAATTTGAAGGAGTGTGGAATCATTTTTTTGTTATTTTTAGACTGAAGACGATGTACTCGAACGTAGTAGTTGGTCTACTCATCATTGCAGTGTCTATAAACGTGGTATTACTATGTCCAAACAACTGTTCCTGTTTCATTACTCGAGGTCTCATCATAGATTGCGACAACAAAGGACTGACTGCATTTCCGAGAGACTTTCCAAATGACTCATCTTCTATGTAATGTGTTTTTCTTATTCTTTCATCCTAAGCTATTATTTATGACAATTTAATAGTCGATAGCTTTTAACAAAATTCCGTGTAAGTGACCATACCTTGGAAACAGAAAAAGGTCGATATAAAAAAAAAACCAAAGATAACACAGAGTTTGTAAAGTTTGTAAAATTTCAGATGACGAAGAGAACTTTATCAATGTTATTAAAACCCATTATCCTAATTTCAACTTGATTGATTCACACTCTAAACTTAAAACTATTTTAGAACCCAATAGAGATATGTTGTCTAGTTTTGTAGGCTATAAAAAGCAATTCATGGATTGCAAAAATAGAGTCGACATTGGTCAAGTATATACTTACTTAAATCAAGACAAAATCCCGAACAAAGAACATTCCGGTACTTTATTACCTTATATACACCGATATATAATCAAGAAGCCATAGCGAAATTAGAAGCAAGAAATCCTCAGTAATAAAGAAGATGACTTAATGTATCCCAATTTAGTGTGCTGTAAACATCGAATATTTCATAGGTTGTAAATTTCTAAAAACTAATCAATATAAAAATTAAATCACAAAAATACTGAACTCCGAGAAAAATCAAAACGGAAAGTTCCTAATAAATTGCAAAATCAAATGATAAAACACATCAAACGAATGGACAACAACTGTCATATTCCTGACTTGGTACAGGCATTTTCAAATGTAGAAAATGTTGGATTGAACCTGGTTTTATAGCGCTAAACCTCTCATTTGTATGACAGTCGCATCAAATTCCATTATATTTACAACGATGCTTGGACAAAACAGATAAGTAAAATGGTCAAAATATGGGTACAGCAGTCATCACTGTGTCACAATTTCAAAACAAACAAATATTTAACAAAGAAGCACAAACAGCAATTATCAAATTTAACAACCATATTCATTGCTTACTGATATATGTATTTTAAATCAACCCATAAAGAAATGAAATATTTGAAGTCCTGTGACTGCATTCACATCAACTCTTAGTGTAGAGTCGCGTGTTTGACGTCAGAAAATGTAAACGTCACACAGGAAGAAATATAAAATAATTTCGTCGTTCAAAGTATTTTCAAAATTATAATTTCACATGGGTAATGGCGGTATACAGAGTTGAAAAATCAAAAGTTTTGTTAGAACTAATTTCAGAAAAAGACCGAGATTTAAAATAACCAAGAATTCTTTAGAATTTTTAAGAATCCACATATGGTTAATACCAGTAAGCGAGTAAAATAATTTTGTCGTTCAAAGTATTTTCAAAATTATAAAAGAACAATAACATAATTGCGGGATCTTTAAAAGTACAGAGCCACGTCATATGTACCAAAGAAACACAACAAGTCACACGTACAAAACACAACAGCAAAAATGAATGATAATACAAACACATTGACGGGATGTATAAGGACCATCGTGAATTATTTGTGAAGTTGATACGGAATATTTATCAACAAGGTCTTGGTACCTTCCGATGAACTTTTTTAGAAAAAGGACGAGACGTTCTTTGACTAACCCCTGGTTCATTAACTTTCTGCTCAGACACTGGTAACGTTTTACAAAGTCTGAGTAGGAGCTGCAAGCTGTTGAATGTCGAATAAGTTGGGAAATGTATATCCCATATGCAGGTGAAGTTGATTTGATTTGATTTGATTTTTGGTGTTTTAACGCCACTTTTAAGCACCGCTTTTGGGCTATTTCGTGGCGGCCAGTTTTTATTGGTGGAGAAAGCCGGAGTGCCCGGAGAAAACCACCGACCTTCGATAGGAAAACTGGCAATCCTAGTCAATTAAGATTGGAGTCGAGTGCACCCGCACGAGCGGGGTTCGAACTCACAACCTCAGTGTTGACTGGCTAGTGATTACAGTAGTAACTACTTAGACCACTCGGCCACCGAGGCCCCCAGGTGAAGTTGGTATATTGCTACTAAGGTGGGGGGAAATTGATAATTTCAAAATTAAAATCGTCTCGTTTGTCAAAGATTCTGGTACTGAGATGACTGTGTATGTCAATTCGAGGTATAAGTCTAAAAATGAGGCGGAGGAAGTGTTCATTCAATTAGAAGGAATATAATACCAATGTCAGTATTTTTACATGCTTTTTAATTAACCTGTTTGCCGACAATTTGAAAGGCTAAACAAAACGTTAAAACAAACATAGCGAAACGTTCCTACCAAAGTCATTCGCAATCTATCGTTAGCTGCCTTGCTACCCATTGTCAAGTTTAATTTTAGATGCTTTTTGTTCAACCTCTCCGTTACAAATGAATGAAACTAATCTAATAAGGAATTAATATAAAGTAGTATGTTTTTGTTATGCATTTCAGATGGATGGATCGCAATTTCTTCACGACAATCGATGAAGGAGCATTTCAAAATATGAAATTATTAAATGCCGTGTATGTATCAGTTTGCTATGTTTTATATAACATTTGGTTATTTATTTATTTTCCATTTAGTGCTTATTGCCGAGAATAAAATATACATGCAACATAATAGATTCGTGCATATCGAGTTTTCTGATTTATTATATTTCCAATTGCACATCTAAATCATCAACTAAATCAGAAAACAGTAGTCTGGCTTGTAAATATTGTTCATCTTGAAGTACTATCATAATGAAGATGTTTATATGAATCGGACTTACTTAGTACTTTAATGCAGTAAACTAAGTAATAAAATTACCTCCATACATGTTGCTTCATACTTGGATGTCATTGCTGGTGTACTGGTAGCCTAACCGATATCATCAGGCTAGAAGGCAACAATGTTTACGGGTTACTGGAGTAAAATATGGAAATTGTTGAAATTGGCTGTTATTGAAATAATTATTAGTAAAACTGCTAATTTGATACAGCTACATTTGAACAGTTATGTTTTAATTGATTATTTGAAGAATACACTATTTTAAATTGTTCGCTTATAAACATTTTATTATCAATTCTACAATTTTATGTTTTTAGAAGAATTAGTTTTAGTGCAATATTAACCATTGAGACTGGCGCATTTAGAAACTTGCCAAATCTTACACACCTGTAAGTATTTTTCATTTTTGTAAACTTTTCAGTGTTATTTTTATTCTAGAGCAAAATAAATCCACCTACTGAAATAATGGTTTAGAAGAGAAAATATTGACCAAAATGATTTATTTTGTCTTAAAAATGAATCTTTTCACAACTTATAATAAAATATTCAGAAAGTTACGTAATACGAAATCGGTTAATGGAAACTATATTCAAACTAAAAAATAAATTTATCATAAATACCAGGTTGATATTTGTATTTGCGCCAGACCAGACGCGCGTTTCGTCTACAAAAAACTCATCAGTGACGCTCAAATTAAAAAAATAATAAGATGAAATACCATTGAACAAAGTATAAACAGACTCAACACGAAGACAAATAAAAAATTATAAAAAACAAAACAACACACAAAAACAAAAACAAACTAAAAAACAAAAACGAGTAAAAAAAAAAGTAAGAAAAAACCCTATAATAAGACAAACCAACTTGTACGTCATTATTTCACTGGAGAAGAGTTGTCTTATTTGCAATAAACCCAAGTCGTCTTATTTTTATAAAGAATGAATTCAATGACAAAAAAATATGCACATTTATCGGCACAAATTCAGCGGTATTTATATTAACGTACGATACCGAATTAGCTTCCACATATCAGCATGTGCGCTTGATATAAAAAGACGTAGAGTTGAATACATAAAATCTTTCAACTCACCATGTACGCATTTCATTGAATCATAATTTCAAAAATAAAAGAATATATCACAGAAAAACTGGATGTCAATCAGCAGAAAAATACACTATTGCTAAAATCCAAAGAAAAAGGTCCATAGATCGTCCATTGTGGTTTCCTGCAATAATTAATTTCATCCCGAGCTCTCAAATTCAGGAAAGCTTATACTGCTGTATAACCAAATGCATCTACGGATACCGTTGTATGCGGGATTTAAAAAAAAAATAGTTCTTTAGCAATCATTGGAAACAAATATCAGAATCAAACATTAGTTAAATGTATCTTTGAAGAATTATTGTATACATGACAGTTCACCATCGTGTCGAGAATGGTAGATTTAAATTTGTTGATGTTGCACTTCTTCATTTTATAAACAATGAACAATGAAAGGGTCAAGCCTACATGACTAAAACGTATCTATTAATTCGAGTAATACAACATTTTCATGACGGTTTTCTGCATCTTAATGGCGTCGGTAGTGGTTTCAAACAGATGACTTAAAAACGGGGAAATATATATCAATGGGTAATAAAAAATAAACGAGTTTGAGAAAAAAACAGAATTTTGAAATTTAATCTCATAAATTTTGAAGAATTTGACAAAAAATTCAATGTCCAATAATATTGACTGCTAATGCTAAATGAAATGACTTGTCAAAATTTGTGCATTATAAAATGAAAAAAAACCTATCACTCCTATAAGATACGTATAGGCCCAAATAAAGTGTCTTGTTTGCAACTTTTGGTCGTCGTTATATACACGATTAGTAAATTTTGTAACATTTGATTGGGTATCATGAATCTCGATGTCTGTTCATCATGTTATATGTTAAAACATTGTTCCCATTGCCAAAAATATACCTTATATTTGATTAAAGAAAAAACATGCTACTCAATACCAAAAACATAAACTGAACTGAAAAGTAAAAGTTAAACTAAAGCTGCTGTAAACATAAATAAGAAACTATGCCTTACAAGATTAAAAACATTAAATGTAAGAAAACACTGCAGGCGGTATAACATGTGACGTATGTGTTGATCATATTGAGTTCGATCATTTGTATTAAACTAGAAGTCTTAGTTGAGGTTTGTTCAAATTGTTGAATAGTAAAATGTGACAATCATGTATCAATTCACATCGATTTAATTTCAATATCTGCTTTATGCATGTGTTTACTGTTTTCTCCCTGTTTGTCTATGATAAACGTTTTTAGTCTACGTAGCTCTAAGCTGCTCAATTCAATACTATAACTAAAGGTTTGGCGGTGTTAAAATGCTAACGTACACAAAGAATGTTTTAATTTGGCAGGTAAAATAATTCAATGCTAACGATAACTAAAACGTTTAGATCTGTCTTACATTATGCACATTAGCAGGGCTTTCACGCCAAATAATAAATGGTCAGAGATAATACTATTTTAGCATATAAACCAATAAACGGTCTAAAATGAAAAGCTGCAACTGTTTAAATGCATGAAGAAAACAACGTTACAATTAATCATATAATATAGACAAAATACCATTTATTATTACAGAAATTTAGACAACAATCAAATAACTATAATACAACAAGGAGCGTTTATAGACTTACCAACGCTAAGGTGGATGTATGTATACATTTTTCTATAATATTTTATTCAGAAGTAAATAAAGACATAACATGTTTTCGTAAAACATAGTTCAAGACAAATAAAATGTTTGTTTTACTTTTTATAACTCTCAATGCCAATATAATTCATTAAAAAAAAAATAGAAAGAAAAAAAAACTATTATCAGTTAAAAACATATATTGATTGACAAAAAATAAAGTTTTTTTTCTATTCTATCAGAATAAAAAAAATAAAGATAAACTTATCAGTATTTCCATGGTATAGTTTTTATGCAAACTTCCACTTCCATTGCCCAACTACTGCCTTTGTGATGTTTTTGTTGTTGCCAGTTAGATATATCAAAGGAAATAGTTAGTTATGATTAAATATCGGTTGTTAATTTGTTGTCTTGAAACGATATACAACCGTTCGATATAAACAAAAATTATAAAATATATTTTCTATATGATAAAATGATTTGATCAAGATATATTTCCAACATTTCTTATAAATATTTGATGTTTACGTTCACGTATATGTTTATTAACTTTGTTAACGATTCAAAGAAACAAATGACAAATTTTATTTTCTCTCTGAATATTTCCAAAAGTTCAAACCTGTAAAGCCTGGACGCATTGTCAGCAATAACATTAAAGGAATTAGGCAACAACACAGTGAACTAAAATTGACTTTCTTACAAATTTAAAGGCACATAAATCTTTGTTATGACTTATGTGTCCTTTCGAAAGTGTTTCTGCTCCTAAACTTTGATGATATTCTAAAATCTCCTACATGCCATCGTAGTCGTCTTTACTTCATTTATATGCAAATTCGTGGGAAGTACAACAAACAGTTTTATTCCGACGATACTTTGAAAATCTAAGTTAATCTATAAAGAAGAGACAAATACTTCATCATGACCTTTGCCAAAGATTGCCGTGTGCCACCCCACACTGAGTTAATTTAAACTTGTACACATGGGAATATTATTTTAATCAAATCAATTCCAATATATCTAAATAAATTAATATGTGTTTAATGTTACAGAAAAAAAAAAAAAAAATAAAAAAAAAAAAAAAACTCTTGTGCAATTAAGAATTATTACCTAACTATTGTTTTATAGAAATAAAAAGATGTAGTATTAGTGCCAATGAGACATCTCTCCATTCAAGTCACAATGTGTAAAAAGTAAACAGTTATAGATCAAAGTATGGCCTTAAACATGGAGCCATGGCTCACATCGAAAAGCAAGCTTTAAAGGGCCACAAAATGATTAGTGTAAAACCAGGAAAACAAATGGTCTAATCTATATAAAAAACGAGAAACAAACAACACTTAAGAACCGCACCAACAAACGACAACCACTGAAACAGGTTCTTAAATTAGGATAGATGCACACAAATGCAGCGGAATTAAACGTTTCCACAACTCTATATCTTTGCCAACCATGCATTAAAACTTGTTCAGGTACATGAGCTTGTCTGTACTCTTATTAAAGTAGAAATAAAAAAGGTAAACAAATATGCGACTTGTAATTTTTGAATTAAAATATTTAACCAGTTTGAATGACATACAGGCCCTTTTAAACATATTAAAAGCACTATAATAAACTACCAAATCTAGAAGGAATGTAATGATTATTTGTTATTCTTGTTATAATCAAATAATTATAAAGTAGATTTTGTCCTTCTGAATATAGAATGAAATTATATCGAATCTAAATATGTGTGTCTGTGTGTTTTCTGAAAAATAACCATATCTACTATAGTTCATGCAAGTGTCAGAGTATTGAATACTGAACTAGTGATACACTCATGGACGAAATTTTCTTTTTTTTTTACATTGATCCAGTGTTTGTAAAAACTCATAAAAACGAGACTGATCATATAGTATGCCAGACTGTTAGTTAAGCAGCAATACACAATAGCTTGGTGTTATTATACCTCAGTATGTTTTTTTCTATATACAAAATAATGAAATAGTTGTGCTATTTCATTCCACAGTCTATTTGCCAGTCAGTAATTTTTAAACTTTTATTCCGGTTAATAGTTTAATAATCGTATTTCCCGAAATTTTTTATACTTAGTTTTCATTGGACAATAATGACGTCATTAACTATTTTGCATTGATTTGTACTCTTGGTGACGTCAAACTCTAATATCGTAAACGGTATAATCTGTTTGTGACTGTTGTAATTTCAAATTAATATATCACTTACCAGAAGCAATTATAAAAGAGAAAGAAAATCTCTGAGACGTATTTTAAAAAGATCTAAAATATAGTAAATGTATATTATGGTTTGCCGTCGTCTTCATAAACTGTGACTGCTTTAATGTACAGTACTTAAGCTATAATGTATGATATGCATGGGAATTTTTACACAGGTATTCGTAGTCTTGATTGCTGTAAATAAAATATATACAAATACAACACGGACTATAAAAAACTTATAGTTCATCTTGTGCATATGTATGTGACATTTTTCTTTTCTTTCAGAGGATTTATGCAGACTTTTTAGAAAGTTGGTTTGTTCGGTACGATAAAACACTTAATGACTGGTTATGAAGATAATAGCAAGTTTGTTGTCCCTTTGATACTAACTATTTCACTCGGCTTCGCCTCGAGCAAATGTTGGTATCTCAGGGACAACACATTTTCTATTACCCTCATAACCAGTCAATATGTGTATGACTTGCCTTGCTGTAAATTTGCATACCAAGGTTGCAACTGATCAAGCACAGCTGACCTTAAAAATATTTTGCAATTTATTTAGGGCCAATTTATTCATATATCTAGTCACGCACTGACATACTTTTGCATTATCAGAATTCAGACGTATGTGTTAATAAGAAAATAAAGTTGTATTTTCCGAAAACATTTTTTTAATTGTTGTTTTTATATTTTCAAAAACCTTTCAGAAACGTTTACTTCCAAAAGTTGCCAGACCAAAAATAAATTTATAGACTATGTAGAATCGTCTTTGACTCGAGCTTTGTTACGAAATCGATCGATCAGAATGAACGAAAATAAATGCCCATCATGTTGTCGGATGCAATGGTTGTAGGGTTGTCATTATCATGAATGTAACTATATGTTAAAACAGGTTTAATTAACCATTTATGCATAAGGACATGTCTGTACCAAGTCAGGCGTATGACAATTATTTCGTATTCGTTGGATGTATTTTAGCTGTTTTTTTGCCATTGATAAAGGACTTTACGTTTTGAATTTTCCTAGGAGTTTTTTAGCTCACCTGTCCCGAAGCAGATTCATCATTGTCAAGATCCGCCAACGGAGGACTTCGTTTAGCATAGGACCCTATGAACAATACATACAAATGTTTTCTTTTAAAGAACCACTAAATGGAATAAAAAAAAACATGACATGAATGTTCCTCATGAGATGCTTACCAAGTGTTGTTACTTTGAAGCCGAGCCTTCATCCATGGTGGCTGCCAGAGGGAGACTAAGTTTAACATAGGACCCTATGGGAAATACATACAAATGTTTTCTTTTAGAGAACCAATAAATGGAATGAAATAAAACATGGTAGGATATTCCTTTTGAGGTAGTGTTGTAACTTTGTAGATACATCATCTAAGATGGCAGCCAGCGGGGGTTTTTGTTAAACATATCCCCCTAAAGACAATTCATCCAAATGTCTTCTTTTAGAGAACCACTTAATGGAATGAAACAAAACACGGCATGAATGTTCCTTATGAGGTGCTTATCAAATGTTGATACTTTGAAGCCGAGCCATCACCTAAGATGGCCGCCAGCGGGGGACTTTGTTTAACATAGGACCCTATAGACAGTACACACAAATGTCTTCTTAAAGAGAACCACTCAATGGAATGAAACCAAACACGGCATGAATGTTCCTTATTAGGTGCTTATTAAGTGTTGTTACTTTGATGCCGAGCCATCATCTAAGATGGCCGCTATCGGAGGACTTAGTTTCACATAGGACCCTGTGAGAAATATATATACATTTTTTCACAAGAGAACAACTAAATGGAATCAAATAAAACATGGCATGAATGTTTCTTATGAGGTGCTGATCAAGTGTTGTTACTTTGAAGCCAAGCCATTTTCTAAGATGGCCGCCAGCGGGAGACTTAGTTTAACATAGGACCCTAAGTGAAAAACATTTAAATGTTTTCTCATAGAGATCACTACTAAATGGAATGAAATAAATCATGGCATGAATGTTCCTTTTGAGGTACCGACCAAGTGTTGTAACATTATAGGCGATTTATCATATTAGATGGCCGCCAGCGGGGGATTTTGTTGAACATAGGACCCTATGGACATTGCATACAAATGTTTTCTTTTAGAGAACCACTGAATGGAATGCACCAAACGTGGCACGAATGTTCCTTATGAGATGCTGACCAAGTGTTGGTACTTTGAAGCCGATCCATCATCCGAGATGGTCGCCAGAAATATACTTAGTTTAACATAAAACCTATTAATCTAGTCAATTTAGTGAACAACCTGCAACTAATTGCAACACAAAGTTTTTTCTGAAAAACATTTTTTTTACTATCTATGACCAACATACTGAAATTATACAAAAATATATTTTGCGGAAAGTGGTGTAATTAATCACCAAAAACCATGAATTTTAATATGAAAGTAGTAAAATTAGGTTGAAAATGTCATTTAAATGGTCAAATGATAGCTTATTGTACGCTGATTCCAAAAATATATGGTTTCTATACAATATTTCTTTAAATAAGGGAGATAATTTGTTACTTCCGGTTTGAAAAAATGATACTTCCAATACTATCTGAATATTTACTTGACACTGATTCCAAAAATATCTGGTTCTATATACTTTTACATTAAGAAAGTACAAAATATAGCTACTTCCGGTTTACACAAGGTCACTAACGGTTGTTTTTTCAAGGTTAAAGGGTTTGATACCTATTGCCAAATGTCTCATGGCTTTATCATGTATACATATGAGGTAAAAGCAAAGGTCAAAATCTAGAACGTCAAACTAAGCTATGACCT